ATCCCCTAGATTTCTTAAAGGAAGTCGGCCCCTACCTGCCTTCAGCTTAATTCTTACCCCAGGGCTAAAGCCGATTTGCTTATTGTGAAATGTAAAGAACAGTTGGTATTAAATGAGGAATGTGTTACACTAAAATTCAAGTAAGGATGCCCTTAGTCTTAGGGTATCGGGGATTCGGTGTGGAAAATCCCCTACCATTAAGCTATTCTTTAACCCACGGGTAAACACTGTTTGCGTAGTCTGAGAAACAGAGTGCAGTTGGGAAATATAAAGGGGATGTTTCCTTACTCAGTTACTCCTTACCCCACGGCTAACGCGGTTGAGTTGTTCAAAAACTATATTAAAACCCTTCGCCTTTCTTCTAGGTACGGGCCACTCTTTTGGGCAGTGAAGGAAGTCAAGACTGGGGCTTTGTGGATCCAATCGACGCGGAACTAAGTAGCTTCAGAATTGATGTGATCAAAGAAGAAGACGAAGATGGAAACGATACGTTGAACAGCGAGAAAACGAACGGCGACAAATGCGAAAAGGACAGCGGAGTCGGAAGAACCGACGAGAGCACGAAAAATGACGAAAGCTCCGGACCCGACGTCGTAGAGGAAGCTCGGCCGTCGCAAAACTCTCGTAAAAATTCGCAGGAAAACGGCGACAAACGCTTAGTTAAGGACGATTCAAACACGCGCGAACGAAAGAGTAGTAGTTCCACGCGTGGTAAGGAGGACCGAGCGTTTTCTCCCATACGGTCGGGAGAAAACTGCTCTGGGAAATCTCGGGACAATTCATCACCGGGCGAGAAAGACTCTAGTCGAAATCACAAGGAGCGCTCTCCCGAAAACGGTCGTACACGCCGCCATAGCAGTGGATCTCCAACTAAAAGTCTTTCACCTACGCACAATGGAGGATCGCCTCCCAGAAAGGATAGAGACAAGGAAAAGAGTAAAGAACGGAAAAAGAACAGAGATTCACACAAAGACAATCATGAAACTCGCGGTGAACGAGATCGCAGTCGACACTCCGACCAGAAGCGTAACAGTAAACTAGGCAACGTAAGCAGGACAATTCGTGCGTCTTACATAAGAGCCGTGAACAAGGACTCGACTCAACACATCAATTTGATTGGCGAGTCGGATTGTTTCGGTGGAAGGGGTGATTATCACGACCATCGTAGCAAACAGAAGTCAAATCTCACTGACAATCAATCTCTAAACGGATCTCAACAGAACATTGAATGGAAAGTTCGAATGTCCAAAGACGGTAGTCAGATTTTTGTTCGCAAAAGGCCTGCCACTGCAGCGAGGCAGGCGAGGAATAAACTTCTGCGCGACCGTGCCCAAAAAATTACCGACGAACGCAAAGGCATGACAACTGATGACGACACACAAACCGTTTACCAAGGCCGTTACTGGCCGAGAGAGGACCGGAGACGACACTTAGAACGAGTGCGGGAAGCGCGCCGAAAGAAAATCCAAAAACTACAACAGCTGAAAGAATCCGAGAGCCCGCACACGGGCAGCGGTTCGGAGAGTGGCAAAGGACGCCGGGATATCATCGTTGAGATGAGTCACAGAAAAATGAACAGGAAGCAGTTTGATGACTTTACAACAGTTCGTGAATATCTAACTCAACGAAACCCCGACGGGTCCCCCGTTGGTCCGATTCACGTTACCACTGTGTGAAAAGTGACGTTTTAACACTTATATCGTCAAAGACAATTTTTTTTGTCGAACTTAAGTATTGACCTCAATGAGGCCAAAAGGTTATCTGATGTTTTATTTGTTTTATGTTGCGTACTTATTCAATTTCTGTAATAATTTCGGCTTGTATATCGTGAAATGTCCGACAATTGGGTGGGGTATTTCACGCAAAACTAGTGAGAAAGCACTGAATAGTTATTTTTCGTCCCGTGCCGAGTTTTTGGCGGGAAGTACGGTTCGAAGTGGCGGGAGCGAATGAGAGACAAAAAACCGCCAAAGATGCAACGAATTCCTCTCCTTTAGATTGGATTTTTTTATAAAATTATAGTTTCTACTTTCATGGGAAAAATTTCTTTGCAATTGTCCATCAATGATAGGAGTAGTGAATTCTTTAGCTTCTAGGCTGCAATTGAAAGTAATTTCCCATTTTAGTCATGGATAAAACGCAGCCTGATCGTTTTGTTTCTTAAAAAAACGATAAAACGGCAATGTTTGTTGCTCATGAAGCCACTAAAAAAATCAAACGTCGGTTAATATAGCTGTTGTGTTGCAAACTTGAAAGTTTTTATGGGGAGGGGGGATTCTTTATAAATTAGTTTACCGCCGTTCTGTTCTAAATTTTCAAATCTTCTATGAATATTTTTATTTGTTGCAGTTATGGAAAACGAACATTTTTATTAAACATTTATTTAACTTTTTTCAACATTGTCCGAAATCTTCTTCGGAGCCGTTACTTAGGCGGTTACGCAACACTTGTTAAAGGTCGCGTGACGGCCTTGAAGGAGAGTGTCGAGAGAATACATTGTTCGTTGTTAAGATTTATTGTTTATGTTATGTAAGGCTTGTAATTTACTGCCAAAAAGTTAAGCAGAAATTCCCGAATTGTATCTATGTATAAAGTAAAAGATGTAGTATTATTATAAGAAACAAATTTAATCAATTTAAAGAGCTATCTATGACATTTTTTTTTCTGTTTTCAAGCAACGAAGGAAAGAGTGACAAAGAATGGAAAACAAGTTTATCATAAGTTTATGGAACGAAATGCGAAAATGTATAGAAATACGACGCGAGAATAATTATGCGTTATCTTAACGCTCTGGGATGAGTATTTAAAAGACTTTTTTTTTATCAAAATGGCAGTCGAACCACTAGCAAACGCCAGTCGTGGAAACTGAAATTTAAGCTTATATATTTGTAAATATAATTATTTCCAGTCACTATTTTCTTTAAAAGGTGAAACTTAACGCCGCAAATTTGTTTTACAACTTATAAGCAGTGGCCGCCATTTTGAACAGCGGTTGTGATTTTTATAAGTTAATTCTTTGTCAGTCTAAATTCCTTCAACGTTTAACAAATTTAAAACGTAACCAACTTGGTGAAATCTGCAATTGTAAAGCCCTGAACTTAACAATGGCTGGACTCTTTTGCGCTTATTTCTTTGGGCAAAAATATTAGAACTAAATCTTGTAAATAAAAATTCGTCTTCGCTTGCTGAAGGAGCACGTAATGTTTTCAACGAAAAATAGAAATCGGCAATGAATTAGATTGACTACCGTTTAAGTCATTGCAGTTGTAAACAAGTCTGTGTCTCTCTGCCATAATATACTTCTGTCTCTTACGAACTGCTAAGTTTGGTTTTTCCATTTTAGAAATATATTAACGTCGTAAACTTTAAGACGTTAAAGTCCACTTAATTTTGGGACTTAACAGTATTCTTTGAAAATGTCATTAAAATCGAAAACCTGATTCTCTTGTGTCTTGTGCTTATAATATTGTTTACAGCAAGAAAGCTCTCGAGACCTTGTTTGCTTTTATAGTTGTAACGTTTATGTTACATGCTTCCAAGAAAGCTTTTTAATGGCTTTTTCGTTAGCGGAATACTAGGGGAGTGGAGGGGGGGCTGTCATAAAGAAAGTTCTCAACTTCCAGATCACAGAATTATTCGAATATTCGCGAAAGATCACCGAAAACAGGAAAGCCAAAACAGATTTGTCCAGTTCAATTTAGTCACCGATTCCGTGTGATCCTTTATAAAAAAAATGCATATGTCTTCACTCTAACAAGAAAATAATCGCTCTGGCCTTTTAAATCTTGCTTTCCGTCATCAATGAATTAAAATCATTTTGCTTCAGAGCTTATCGTTTTCAACAAAGCATTTCACTCAACGAACATTTTGCTGCTCTGAGAATATTTGAGTCGAAGTAGACAACAATATTGATATTTTCTATTGAGTATGATTTATTGCCGGAGGTCACCTTTGTGCTGTAAGTACTTCTTGTCTTGTGAAAATAACACATTCCAGCCTTTGATAGACTTGTTTGAGCATGATTTTATACGCTTCAAAAATTGGTAAAGTAAACAAGTGCAAAATTTAGCTGTATTCCGAATCTGAGTCAAGTATAATGCTAAGTCAATACCTTCAAAAAGTATTCGCTTGATTTTCTTCATCAGATTTAACTGTACAATGAGATTGCCTTTCGTGTGTGGGTTAAATATGTAATTAACTTAGCAGATAAATCAAGGTCAAGCCCTTGAACATTGATAAATTTACCGGACGGCAAGTGTTTCCAAGAGCCTTTGCCCTACGGCACAAATACAAATCTACGCCATAAAAAAATGATGTTGTCATGCTTTAATTACCTAAATAACCGCTTGCGATGGATTGTCCAAGTCTTCTCGTCCTCCAAGATACGTCGTAAGTTGCCAAACTCGTGTTGGCAAACTTCAAAAAGTTGGCAAACTCGTGCATTCATACGTCAAACTCGCGTTAAATTACTATTTCTCTTGTTTAGATTTATAATAGTGATACTCTGTAAATTCACTATAAATTCACATCACAATCTAATTCAAATCACTCAACAAAAGTGGATATAGTCGTGAATACAGAGCTTTGAATTGAAAAGAGTAATTTTTGAAGATCGACTATGATCAAAAACAGAACTCCATCGCCCTAGAACACAAACTTTACTTACCGCCTTTTAACCCCAGTTTCTCCGCTAGTTCTTCCATTTTCTTCTGCTTGTTTTTTATGTCTTTATACGCTCCAGACGAAACGTCCCACAGACCTAGACAATTTTGAACTTCCTCGATGAATTGAAAAGTTCCCTCACGTTCGTCTTCACGTCCGTCCGCCATTTTGTGAAGTGTCACGCAAATCACGTGAACAGAGCGCGTGTTTTTGATTGGTTGACAGTTACCAACACACGTTTGCCAATCGTTTACACGTCAGATACAAGTTTACTAACACGAGAAAGTTGGTGAAAAAGTTGGCGAGAATAGAGGCAAGTTCTATTTATCGCCAACAGTTTGCCAACGTGTTTGCCGACTGTATTTGTGCCGTTCACACACACCAACTTCAGTTTGCCAACACGAGTTTAAAGGAGTCAACAAGAGTCGTGCCAGTCTCTTGTGATAAGCCGCAAGAAGGCCTGGGAACAATCACATCAAACATGGCGGACAAACGGGCAAAAACAATACGCACCTTTCGGGGTTTTATTTTAGGACACTGATCAATTTGCAAGCACAGGATCGCGATGCTGGACACTTATACCTGGCAGGGAACCCTTTTAGCGGCAATCTGTGCATTACGACTTGCAGATTAAAAGAGTAAAAATGTGAAGTTCAAGGCGATGTCAATGGCTCTTCTAACAAAAGTTACAAAACGTGTTGTGCATGCGAGAAGCGCTGTTTCACCTCCGCTGAAGTTAACTTTAGCTTTTCACAGAACATTTCCATCAACGGTGGGAGCTCCAGGATCTCACATGCCATTAAAGACCGTTGCAAGCGTACAGAATCGAACTCGTTCCCTTGTCCAAGCTCTTCGAACGGCCAAGAATGAACAGTCAAGGTTGATTCGTCTAGAGGAATTTAACGACCACGTGCTTCGCTATCAAGGCGTCAGCAGAAGTCAGGCTATAAGAGAACAGGTGATAAGCACCCTGCTGGAAATCAGAAAGAAGGGAAATAAGGAGGTCCGTAAAGAAAGTCAGAAAGCTTTGGCTCAGTTGGGGTGGGTGGACCCCGTGAAGGGGAGAGGGATCAAGGTGTTGTCCATTGATGGCGGCGGATCCAGGTAAATACATGTAATGGGCCATTCCATTTTTATCTTTAACTTCACCCTCCCCTTCTCCCTTTATTGAGGGTTGCAGAAATCTGAGGGGGAGAGAGTCTTTAAAGGTTGTTTCTGTGGGGGCAACTGAGTCGGTGCCTTTGATCTTTTATAAATTCTGAAGGCGGAAGAGTGTCAACACTTAGATCTTCTTTTCTTTTTGGTAGGGCGTAAAAGATTACTTTTCTGAGGGGGTAAATGGAATGGTCTAATATGCTCTTATTGACTAAGTAGGAGGGCTGAATGAGAAATATCTAGCTTGTGGTCATGATGTAAACAAGGGGCAACATTCATGTAGCTGAAACATGCAGGTTAATCTTAATCAGTAAATTGAGATGCAGTGGCCTAACAATGAGAAGGCTGGACTTCAGATTGGACAATGCAGGTTCAAGCCCTGGGTATGTCACTGAGTTGTATTCTGGGGTCAAACTTCATACTCTTTAATAACACAATGCCCTTTCTCCAACCAGGTCCAGTGTGTTCAAAGGAACAATAACACACTCTCCAGTGGATAGCACAATATTTGTTTTCAACGCTAGGATCTACTGGATAGCTGGATAGCTTCATCCACTGCCCGAAATCGTTACCCTGTTTAAGACCCAAATCTGTGATTTTCTCACCCCTATTTATGGCCTGACCAAAATATTCAATACCCTATTGAAGACCTGACCATTAAATCAATACCCTGTTTCAGACCTGCCTTATAATTTGTTCCCTAGTTCAAACCAATATTAAAGACATTGTGAAGGGCTTTTGTTGGTGGTTTTATTGAGAATGATGAAAAAGTAGCTTTTTCTAAAAAACAATTCAGGACTAGAGTGCAAAAACCATACGCTAGTTGAGACCAAAATGGCTAAAATGGATATCCTATTTCTAACCAAAATGGCTAAAAAAAGGGGCTGCCCATCCCTAAAGGATCCACACTAGGGACAACTAGGCTCTAGGGTATAAAGCTGTACCAGCAAATTTCACTGCTGGAGGGGTATCCCTACAATGAACTAGCATGTAAGTAGTGACTTTTAAGACCATACTGGACAGGTTGGGCATTGGAAATATGTCCTTGCATTCATTGGATCTCATTGAGTTTTGCCACTTAACCTAGACTAGACTATATCTTACCCTAAAATTGGCATGGTGAGATATACAGTGTAAGTATAGACCTATACGTAAAGTACCACTCAAAAGTTAGTTACCACCCTCTGTAAGATGACAATCTTGCCTCTTGAGATGAGACTCAACAAGACTCTCATCTCAAGAGACGAGACTCATATTGTGAGTTGAGACACTCATCTTGCAAGAGCTTTAAAAAACTGTAAACTGTAACATTGCTTGGACTTCTCCCACGATTTAATTGCCTGTTGTAAAGCAAACATGAAGCTACATCATAGCAAAACTTCATGTGCCCTGAGGAAGCTTCGCTTCCAAGCTCCTGCCAAACTCTGTTGTTTACCGTGCTTCTTGATAATGGTATGCATGAATATGCTGCAAAGTTTTAAATCAAAAACATATCGTTCATCGCTTTCAGGGTGTTACAGTGAAAGACCTGTACGTACGCTGAAAGTTCTTTTTTTACTGGTCAATCATAGTGGCTTCTTTTGCCAAGCGAACAGCGTGATTAATGAAGTCATTCACTATATATTGTAATCATGGTAACTTTAAATTATTTTCTGTGTTAGAGGTCTGATATCCATTGAAATCCTTAAGAGAATTGAACAGCTTTGCAACAAGGAGATTTATGAGTTATTTGACTTAATCTGTGGTGCTTCAACTGGTGCTATCCTAGCTTTCTTGATCGGCATCAAGAAAGTTCCACTGGAGGAGTGTGAACGCACCTATAGAAAGCTCAGTATGGATATATTTGAACAAAATACTCTGATAGGAACAGGGAAATTGTTCTGGAATCATGCCTACTACGACACTGCTAAGTTTGAACAGATTCTCAAGTGAGTATGACTTTTTGTGTATCTTTCTGTTTTTCTGTTTTCTGTAGAAATGTATTTTTTTTATCCAAATAAGTTTTCAATTATTTTAGATCATCCCAATTGTTTGGATTCTTTTCTGATAATGAATCTCAGGGACAAGAGATATCTTTTTTTTATCTTTGTCATATCATTCTATCAAGAAGTTATCAGTTCACTTCCACAGTATCGTGTTATGTGAGTGTACATGGGTACACGGTCATAAACACAGTATGGATTCAGTGCAGGGGGGGGGGGGGTAATCTAGAAAGTCATACACAGGAAGGCCCCTTGGAATGAAGCTAGTGAACAATGTTACAGGAGAACATCAAGCATTACCAAAAGAGATGTTAACCAAACAAAAAGGATTATTTGTCAAGTTCATGTTGTGACGGGAGTCAAGATACTCTGATTTCCATACCCTATCATATACCTCAATTTATGAAATCCCTAATATCCTTTAATATACATGTACCTGGAGCCTGGGAAAGGTAGCCCTTTCAGGCAGAGCCTCCCCACATCCATAGGGTATTGTAGGGAGTACCCTGTCTCCCAGGGTGCAGGGAGGTTGGTACTGACAGTGACCAATCGTTAGTTCCTGAGTTGGTTTGGTGTATAATGCAACAAAGGATGGCGTAATAAGTGGTACATTTGTGACTTTGCAAGCAGCAAGGCGTAATCTTTTCTGTAAGCTGAAGACATAGTCTTGTAAAAGAAATCAAAATAGCATCACGCAAAAATTCTAGACAGTTAAGCACACTTAAAGGTTCAAGGACCATCCTTTTTCTTTTTTTTAAAAAAAGGAAAGAAAGTGGAGATGAAAGGTTGATAGATTCTGCTAAGGATACAACTATTCCCAAGGTATTTGTACACCAAATTGTTTTATAATGTGATACTTACCTGGCTGTATAATACACTGTAATTAATGTGGGAAGAAGGAATTGAAATCATGCTTATAACTTGTTTATAATTTTCAGCCCTGCCCCCAAAATGTGCCGACAGCAGACAGTTCTGCTCTGAACTTGATACTGGAGTTCACAAATCCTAGCTAATGACAAATCCCTGTACCTGCCTGTTTCATGTATAATCCTGTCACCAACTACATACATGTACAACACAGTACGTTTTGGCAGGGCTGAAATTATGTTGGACTCTTCCCCTTTAACAAATGTAACTGTTATTTTTATCAGCTCGTTATGCAATGTCAATCATCGATCAAAAGGTTGATTCCAGTGCCGTGTATATCTCAAATACACATGGACTACAAGTCAATCTCGCATTTTGAAACTCTTTTTCACAAACATTCCCACATAACATTCTTTTGGAAAAAAATCAAGTTGGTAATTCAGTATTGAACTGGAACTAGTTAATGGAGTAGGTGCTAACGCTGGAGAATCTTTTCAAATTCATAGACTTTCTGATTTAAGATATTACCTTATAATATTTTTAGAGGGGTTTCATTAATGTCTTCAGAGGGCGGGAAACTGGTTTGAACTGAACCTCTTTGTAAGATAAACTTCTCGATAGATGGCCATACCAGGTGGGCCAACTCATCCTCACAGCTGGTCAATTTGCCCAGTGCCGTGCCCTTAATGAAAACCCTGAAATATAGTTCATTCCAAGGTAGGTACTTTGTATTGCTTTCTACATGTCCAGTATGATCTGGTCTTCTGAATGTCTAGAGCTCCAGTTAAATGGTCATGAGCTAGGGTTTATCCAAAGAGTTTAAAAGTAGTGAGAGTTCCCTGGTACCTGTTCGTGATAATAAACATTTGCCAGTGCTACCAACTGATTCACATTCACAATTGAAACATCAGTCACTAAACTACCCAAGGATCTTGCAGTAATTACTTTGGCTGAAAACAAAGTCACTTAGTTAGTGCTTTCACTACGAAGAATACCAGAGTTGACAGCAAAGAACATATTTGAAAAATATTTACATGTAACACTAAGTAACACATGAAAGTACTGCTCAATAGCTTTCATTTGAATGGTCACACACTGGGGTTTCATCATTTAGAAACATCTTGTATAGGGTAACAAACAGTACCACATGAAAGTATTGCTCAATAGCTTTCATTTGAATGGTCACACACTAGGGTTTCAACCACAGAGTCTGGAGGATTTAAAAGTTTTTAACCGTTCTATTGTCATTGCTCATGTCAGTACAGGTGGCTGCAGTGTCCACAGTAGTGAATCATTCTATCCTGTTGCCTTATGTGTTCAGTAACTACACACATCCTTATGGTTCCATCTCAAAGTTTCCTCAGAGCTGTAAGCACAGGCTGTGGGAGGCGTTAAGAGCATCTACTGCAGCACCTGGCTTCTTTGAGGAGTT